TAGATTTGTTTGTTTATTCATTCATTCATTCATTTATTAATGGAAGTACTGGGGGTTGAACCCAGGACCTCCTGCATGCTTGACGCACACTACCACTGAGCTATAACCTACCCCCCACCTTTGTTTTTGTTTTTTTTTAACATTTTTTATTGATTTATAATCATTTTACAATGTTGTGTCAACCACCTTTGTTTTTAATACAGAAAACCTTTTTCCTGATGAGTAACTTACCACAGTCATTTGGGCCATTTCTCCCCCATCTCTTAGGTGATCAAACTTCTCTGAGTACCCACTCTATTAGCTGAACTTACTTTGAAGTCTGAGGTCTAGGCCTTATTGTATTAATGTTAATATCACCATTTTTGCTTATTTAGTGGGTATTTATCTGAATGCCTACTATGCACAAAACAGCCACTTAACCCAGGGAGGTTACAAAAGGCTTGCTAAATGAAGCCTCTTGTGCTAGGGAAGTTGTGATCTGCTCAGGAGGTTCAGAAAATGGAGACACAGTCCAGTACTAAGTGGATCTGCATGTGCTCTCTGATGCCTGTGGTCAGTCCTAAATAAAGTGGAGCCTTGAGAGTAGGGAGGATTAAGAAATAATCATTTTTAGAATGGTTATGAGAGGGGAAATTCAGAAAAATATAAAGAAGGAAACAAACAGTCTACATGCAGTCCTCTCACCTAGCTGTAAATGAAGGCAACACACACAGAATATTCAAACAGTATTCAAAGGTATGAAATTAAAATATCTATTTCTCTTGTCCCCAGAAATCATCATTTTAATAGCTTCCTGTGTAACTTTATAGAAAAAAAAAGTCTACATCTGCTACCATGTATGTGGGTATCCTTTAAAAAATTTTTTTACCCCAAAGGGATTGTGTAATATTCCTTGAAATGGATCTACCATAATTTAACCAGTCCCCTATTAATAGACACTTAAGTTGCTTTCAGTTCTTTGCTTTTGTGAACAATACTGTTAACAAATTGTATTGTGTAAATGTGTCTGGGTTTATAGATTTTTGGAACGTCTCTGAAGGGTATACTTTTTGCAGTGGAATTACTAGGTCAAAGGGTATGATCATTTAAAAAATTAGATAGATTGCCAAATTGCCTCCAAAAAGTTTGCCCCAGTTTATCCTCTCAACAGTATGCAAGCATGTCTGTTTCCTTGTATTTTCACCAGCACTGGTGCCATCAGACTTTTAGCTTTTTTAGATCTGATAAGTGAAAAGTGGTATCTCCTTGTTTTGTTGATTTGTATTTCTCATCTGGAATGATCTTGAGCATCTTTTCATATGTTTAACTGATGAGACTTATTAAGATTTTGATTTCCTGGGTAGTTCTGAGCAGGTGAGCATTCCAGGGAGAGATAGCTATGCAGGTACAAAGGCAAAGAATGGGGAAGGTGCTTAGGGAAGATTTATTCAACAAATACTTACTGTGCACTTAAAATGATTAAGGTGCTGTGACCATGCAAAGCCGTAGGAGGAACCTTCTCTGTTAAGACAGGTTTGTGTTCCTTATCAAGATTGAACATTCTAAGTGCCCCCAGGTGAGGTTCCAAGAGGGAGCCTCAGAAGTTAAGAATCTGGGTAGGTCCCTTTCTCGTTGGGAGTGTCATGATATCTTGGCAGGGCTTTGAAGGATAAGGAGGGTTTGGAAAAGTGGAGATAGGGATGGGGGTCGTAACAGCCTACAGACCAGATTAGCTCGAGCCCTGTCTTGGGAGAAGTAGGGGGATGAGACTACACAAGGAGCTTGAGCCTGAGTGTTCTGACTGAGGCCTGGAAACAGAAAAGTAGCTGGAGGCCTTCCAGCTGCCCCATGTTTTTAAAGGCCCTAGGTGGCATAAGAAGCAGTTGGCCAGAGACCTGACAGTTCCACAGGTTTGCAGCAAAAAATAAAAATGTAAAGAAATAGAGGAAAATTCACAGTTTGAGGGCGCATTCTCAAGCCACTCTGGACTGTTCTTGTTTTTACTTTATCAGCGGTTGTGCAGGGCTAAAACCCAGTATCATATACTGCAGAAAGACAGTCCCTGGGTCAGCATTGGTTAAAGTGTTTCCGTGGAATATACATGAAGTTTTGAGAAAGCCGACACTTCTGTACCATTGGTTGGTGGGAGTATAACTCCATGAAACTTCTTTGCAAGGCAATTTGACCACATTTTCTCAGAGTTTAGAATGCATATATCCTAGAGAACAAACTAGTGGTTGCCAGTGGGAAGAGGGAAGGAAGGAGGGGCACAATATGGCTAGGGGACCAAGAAGTAGCAACTGCTATGTGTAAAATAAATAAGCTTCAAGGATATATTGTCCAACACAGGGGATATAGCCAATATTTTATAATGTCTATAAATGGAATATAGCCTGTACAAATTGTGAATCACTGTGTTGTGCACCTGAAACATATGTTATACATCAACTATACCTCAGTTTTTGAAAATGCATGTATTCTTTGACCTAAGATACATTTTAAGAATATATTTTATAGACATACATGTCACAGAGAAATATGTGGAAGGATGTTCACTGCAGCATTGTTTGTAATCACACCAACAAAAACATACACAGACACTAATGTTCATCTCTAGGGAGCTAAATGATGCTAAGTCTGGAACAGTTGAATGCCATGCAGTTGTTACAAGAACTGGGTAGATTTAGATCTGCTGACGCGATTGGTCGCTAAGATATAATTGAATGAAAAAAAGGCAAGGTGCAGGGAGTGGATTTAGTATGATCCCATTTGTATTAAAAAGAAATTAAATGAAAATAAAATTGAGGGGAAGACCACAGAGGTACTAGCAGTAACTACCTGTGCAGGGTGGGACTCAGGGTGGAGTGGGTGGGCTGGGAGAGAGCAAGACTTTTTTTCTTAGTTTTTTTGTGGGGACAGTAATTAGGTTAATTTATTTGTTTTTAGAGGCAGTACTGAGGATTGAACCCAGGACCCTGTGCGTGCTAAGCATGTGCTCTACCACTTGAGCTATACCCTCCTCCCAAGACATTTTATATTCCTTTATGGTAGCTGAGTCTTTAAAAAACTTTGCATGTATATTACTTTTATATTTTCAAAGGCTAGTTATATTTTAAAATAGAATACGTTTTAGACTAAATTACCACAGAGTCTTGCCAGGGGATTGCGTGGAGCTTGGTGTATCATGGTAAAAGGGGCAGGTGCCTTTGCAGTCATATTATTCGTACAGCTTTAGAGACTTTGAGCTGAAATACCTGCCTGTAATTCTTTTTTTTTTTCTTTTTCTTTTTTAATGTTGTATTGCTTTAGGAAGGTAGAGCAAATGGTTTAGTGACTTTCATTACGGCTATGGTAATTGCTGCCGTATGTTTAGCCTCTAGCCTTGCACTGAACTGGAGGCATTTCATGTGCCAATACAATTAGTACCATTCTGGAAGCTATGTATTATTACCTTTGTTTTCCCTATGGGGACTGAGACATAGAGAGGCTAAGTGACTTGCCCAGGGTCACGTGGGTGCTCAGTAGCAAAACACTGATTCACATCTGGGTCTTCTAAACTCTTGTGTCTTGGTTTCCCCCATGATGCCACATAAATGGTGCCCACTGGGAGGTGACATGAGAAAGAAATATGTGTCTCAGCATGCTGGGGCTACTGTAACAAAGTGCCATAGACTGAGGGCTTGAGCAATAGACATTTATTTCTCATAGTTGTGGAGGCTGGGAAGTCCAAGCTCAAAGTGCCAATGAGATGAGTTCCTGGCTAGAGTGCTCTTCCTGGCTCACCTCCTCGCTGTGTCCTCATGACATGTGCCTCACCGAGAGCGAGCTCTGGGGTGTCTGCCTCTGCTTACTTACAAGGGCACCAGCCCTATCGGGTTAGGGCCCCACCCTTATGACCACATTTAACCTTTGTCACTTCCTCGCAGGTCCTCTCTCCAAATTCAGAAGTCTTGGGGGTTATTCATCTGACTGCAGATGAATTTTAGGAAAACACAGATACTCAGTTCTTAACACTATAGTACTGGTAAAGAGACTAACATGCACAAAAGAATAAAAGACAGTTCTAAGACAGAGTATAATAACGTGTTACACTTTACTGCTTTGTCATGTACACAACAAGATGTTTATTGTGGGGAAAGGAAAAAAAACCCGGCAAACACAGATAGACAAAACAGAAGAAAATAAAAATCACCCGAAATCCTGCCACACGAAGTCACCGCTTTAAAAAGCAAGGTAGAGAAAAAGTTCATGCAATATGTTACCATTTGTGAGAAATTATTTGTTTGGATTGATGTATGTTTGAATAATAAATATGAGGAAGTATAAACAAAAAGACAAAAGAAAAAGAGGTAACTGCTGTTAATGTTGCAATGATTTTCCCTTTCAGGTCTTGAGTGTATGCATTGTGAAATGGTCACCACCCTAAGTCTAGTAATCATCTATCACCATACAGACTTATTACAATATTATTGACTGTATTCCTTCTGCTGTACATTACATCCCCATGGCTAATGTCTAACTGGAAGTTTGTACCTCTTAATCCCCTTAGCCTATTTCTTCCCCCACCCTCTCCCCCTACCCGTTTGTTCTCTATATCTATGAGTCAGTTTTTGTTTTGTTTTGTTTCTGTTTTTTGTATTTCACATATAAGTGAGAGCATATGGTACTTGTCTTTCTCTGACTTATATCACCAAGCATAATACCCTCTAGATCCATTCATGGTATTGCCAGTGGCAAGATTTCATTCTTTTTATGGCTAAGTAATATTCCATTGTATATATACACCACATCTTCTTTATCCATTCATCTGTCGATGGACACATAGGTTGCTTCCGTATCTTGGCTATTATAAATAATGCTGCAGTGAACATTCTTTTCACATTATGAATATTTGTAACTTCAAGATAATCAAAACAGGTGCCAACACCTGTGTGTTCTTCTCTCTCAAAGGCTGTAGTTGGATGGGATGTGGGAACACTAACCCAGGAGTAGAATTTTACTGATGTTCTGTGTTATTCTCTTCACAGCAGTTCTCAGCCCTGACAGAAGTGCTCTTCCACTTCCTAACTGAACCAAAAGAGGTAAAGTATCTTGTGAGAAAGACAGTTCGCGAGTCTGGGTCTCCAGTCCTGAGATGCTTAGAAAGTGAAGTCCTGGTTTGTGCCGTTCCCTCTCTGCAGGTGGAAAAGTTTCTGGCTCAGCTCTCTGAATTTGCCGCCACCAATCAGATCAGTCTCGGCCCCCTCAGAAGCATCGTCAAGAGCCTTCTTCTGGTTCCAAATGGTGAGTAGCCTCTCCCAGCAGCTGAGGCCAGAGACATTACTTGAACATCCCGTCAATCCACAGAGTTGGCAAGCGTGCTCTGGGCACTGATCCAGAGCATTCGGTAGTGAGCCCGACATGGGCGGGTCTCACAGTCTAGGGAGGGAAGCCAGGTAAACAGACAACCGTGGTAGAATATGACCGAGGTGCAGCTCAAAGTGCAGTCTGCTTCCTGGCTTCCAACCCCAGACTTATCCGGTCCTCTACATGATAGGTACAGAAGTTGAGAGTAAGCATTTAGAAACTTCTATAGCAATTTGACAAAGTCTCTTGAATCTATTAACTTTTAAAAATGGAACTTGTATTCTTTTTAATGTAGTAAAATAGACATAATATAAAATTGACCTTGGGGAGGTTATAACTCAAGTGGTAGAGCAGATGCTTAGCATGTACGAGGTCCTGGGTTCAATTCTCTAAGTACCACCTCTAAGCATAAATGAATAAACCTAATTACCCCCCCAAAAGAATAAAAATAAATAGATTTTTTAAAATCATGGTTAATATTAAAAATAAATTTTAAAAATTAAATTGACCATTTTAACTATTTGTTTTTTTCATTTCATATTTCTAGGAATTAATTTTCATTGTGTTTTACAAAAATATCAGTCCATGATGGATTGAAAATTTAGAAAGATAGGTCTTTTGACGCAGATGGTTTGAGAAGCAGCGTTTGCCTTAGAGCAGTTAAGGAAAGTTTCTGGCCAGGAGGGTGGTGATCACGAAGGTTTAGCTGTAGGACTATTCATTGTAGCCCTGTTTATAGTAGAGAAAAATTAGGAAAAGTCAAATCACCCAGCAGCTGTAGTTTGGTGTAATGAGCCGTGGCCCATTTTCACAGGGGACTATCATGGTGGTCAAGAACTTTAGTTTGGAGGACCTGGGTGTGAATCCCAGTCTGACCCCTCATAAGTAGTGTGACTTTGGCTAGGTACCATATCTCTTTCAGCCTCTAGCAACAACCCTCCACTAGCTGCTTTTCCACCCTCTAAGCTTGTTTTCGGTGCATCCCTGGGGTTGTTTTGAAAATTAATTAAGATAAGGTAAATTAAATGCTTAGCACAGTACCTTAGTAAAAGGTTGCTCTTATTTTTCAAATTATGTAGAAATTTAAAAAGAAGCTGTGGAGGAAAATGTAATGATACGGAAAACTTTTCAGAATATTCTGCTTAATACTGTCTACCACAGTCCTATTTTTGTGTTTAAAAAAAAAGTTAACTAACTTTGATTATATCTGACTGGGCTGCAAGTTGTTTTGTTTATTTTTAGCTGTGTATTATCTAAAAAGTTGTTAAAATTAATTTGGCAATTTAATGAAGAGGTAATTGTATTTAAAGAGAGAGGCGACATTTGAGCCCAGTCTTAAAGAATGAATAAATGTTGACCAGGCTGAGAAGAGGTAAAACAGCATCCCTACTTTGCACATTTTAAAAGTCAGTAATAAGCTGATCTTCCCAAGCTCTCAGCCCAGTGGTGCACTAAAAGTTGGGAGCTTAATTTGTTTGTTCCTGTCGGGCACCTTCCCGTGTATCTTAGTGCACATCCTTTCCCTTGCCCTGTCTTGTGCTCCTAAGGTTCAGGACGCTTCAATCAGAACATCCCCAAGGTTTCCAACTGAAATTTTATGATCCTCTGTGTGATTCTTGCATTCTTGCCCTCATGACAGGTTCCACAAGGCTGGATGGGAACTTGCAGTCTTTTTAACACAGAAATAAATTTTCATTAAAACAGTGCAGAACAGTGCAGGGAAAATCCCCTTTTGATCATCCTACTCTTGTCTTTAGAAATAATCACAGTACAATTTTGGTGTATACCCTTTTATATTTTTACATACACTGACAGACACACATATATGCATTCACGTAGTTTTGTTTTTCATAAATAGCAGTAAACCATAGACTTGGACTGCAGCTTGCATTTTTGTTCTTCTGCTATCTGCAGTGTACCATGGACTGAATGTATCTTCTTTTAGTTAATCCATTTCCTATTGCTGGACATTTCAGTTATTCTGACTCTTCACTCTTAGAAACAATACCGCGGTGAACATCCTTACGACATCCACGTACTGCACGTTTGTGAGCGTTTCGGTAGGATGGGCGCCCAGAATGCAGAACCAGAAGTTTTTATGCCCTTTGTCAATCTCACTGTCTAGCCTACAGCTGTAGGAATGAGTCTGTCAGTGGGTGCCTACCTGTTAGCTGTTGTGGGCGCTGATTTTCAGGAGACCTCTGTCTGGTGTCTTCCCTTCTTTCCTGTCCTTCCGTCTCCTCTCTGCTTGCCGCCTTCCTCCATCCTGCCAGAGCCTTAGTCCCTCCCAATTCTTAAGCTCCAGCCCCTGTGCCGCTGCTTTCAGAAAGTCATCCCAAACCATTTCAGTCCACAGTGACCTCCCTTCCTCTTAGCAACCGAGATTTCTTTTATCTGCAGCCATCGTGGACCATAATCATTTTGTGTTCTGTTGTCGGTGCTGTTTGGTATGTGTCTGTCCCATGACCCTAACAGAGAGCTAGTTCCTTGAAGTCAGGGGCAGTCCGTACTACTTTCCTAAACCACAGTTATCAGTAAAGTGATGACAGAGTGTGGGAGCTTTTAGACCATGCTGGGTGAGTTGAGCTGAATTTGGGAGATCCTGTAATCCTCCCAGCGGATGTTGGGTGTATAATCTTCAAGCAGGATTGATTATCAGTGTTGATAGCAGGTCGTTTTCTATAGATGCAGACAGCACTGAGGAACTAAAAGCGTACCATTCAGAGGTGGGCTTTGCAGGCTTGTTTGGATTTGCGTGTCGGTCCTATCACCTGACAGAGCTGTTGGACCTTGGACAGATCAGCCTTTTGGGGTCTTAGCTTCTGATCTGAAAACCAGAGTAATAAGAGCAGTTTATGGTGTTGGTGCTAGGAATAAATTAGTTAATACACATAAAGCACTTAATACAGTGCTTGCTAAACTTTAGCATTATTTATTGATAGTTCAGTTAGTTTGAGTCCTATGCCTCGATATCAAATCATCAGATAAAACCTTCCTTCGTCTAATGGAGAGGATCTGAATTCACTTCACCTCTTGACTATTTAACGCCCCAAAGCTTTTCAAGTTCTAGAATCCACCTCAGGTTTGCTGTACTTCTCAGTAGCACTCAACAATTTCTGTTTATTTTACTCTTCTTTTTGTTCTCATACAATCTGACTTTTCTCTTCCTGCATAGTTTTTCTGCTTGAATTCTCCATTTCTTCTAGAGCATCTCCTAAGCATCTGAAATGGTAGCTTATAAGTCTCCTGGCTTCTTCCTCATCTTTTGGCCTGATGTGCCATTTTCTTTTTGATCCCAAAGGCTGCCATCCCAGAACAAGTTCCCAGCCCTTCATGCCTCGTTATGGCAGTGACATCTCCACCTCTCTTCTTCCATCTCGGATTCCAGGTAGCCCTGGAGTGCAGGTACAACTTGGATCCTTGGATCCTGCAGCTCCTCTCAACTATTTACTTTGCAGAATGAATTCTTTTGTCGTTAACTTGGCTTTCAAGGCCTTCTCCAGTCTAGTCTGAAATGCAAGGCCTTCGTTCTCTTTCCCTTCCCTCATCCTGGTCTTCCCTGTGTGGTAAGACCTCATTGTAGAAGTGCAGCCTGTTAGAGCTGACTGCACCTGGAGAACCCTCCAGATCAGTCTTCCTCAAAATTAGTGTTTTCATCCAGAAAAGACTTCTGTGGCCAGACAAGGTCGTAAAATACCATCCCTCCACCCCCAGCCTTGGAATCTTGGAGATTCACAGACACATTCACATATCTCAGGCTCTGAAAAGTCCTTCAGTAAAAAGCAACCTGCTTAACCAGTATCTGTGAAACAGTTAACTATGGAACGCTTCCTTTTTTAGAGGTGGAGGGGGGAATGGAGGAGGGTCAAGTAAAAGCTTTGTAAAATGCTGATCTAGTCTGATCTTTGTCTTGGAGATAAAGAAACACAGCCCTAGAGAGGGGAAGTGTCTAGCTTAAGATCTTACAGTGGAAAAACTGGGGCTAGAACCTCCCTTGATTAGCTCAAAACCTGTGGATTTTTGTGTGTGTTTTTATTGTTCTTTAATGTTTTTCTTTCTTTATTTAGTATGTAATTCTTAAAAGCATCTGACTTGGACGTTTATCAACCCATGGCCAACTTGCTTCATCTGTGCCCCATCTACTTCTCCTTACTGCTCTACAAACTGGATTATTTCAGAACAAATCTCAGACATCATATCATTTTATTCCCCAGTTCCTAGTTATGTATCTCTAAAAGATAAAGGACTTTTCCCTGTTTATCAAACTGCTATGCAATTATCATATCTAAAATTAAAGTGTGCAGTCAGTGTTTAAACTGCCCCATTGTCTTACACATTTTGTTTTAAAGCGTTGTTCTCATCAGGATCCAGGTAGGGCCCCCACCTTGCATTTGGTTACTCAGTGGCCCTTGTGTGCTTACTTGTCACTGTGGCTGTTTCACAGCTCTGAGACCTCAAGCCAAGCAGTTAACCAGTGAAATCAGTTTCTTCAGGAATAAGATGGAGCTAATACTAGTAGCTCATACACTGTTACAAGAATGGAGAAAGATAATAAATGTAAAGTGCTTGCTTCAATAATAAGGTGGTAGCTACACTGCTGCTATTATCATTGTGATGATGATTATGAGTTGTCTCCCAGAAAAGATTACAGATAACGTCACAGTAGGGCCACAATTTAAGCCTGTTTTTACTTTAATACTTAGCAAGGTATCTGGCCCTTGTGGGTACTCTGAACTGATTGTTTTGTAAGAAAAGGTGATAACTCACCTTCCCCACTCCAAAGGAATCTATCTGGCTGAACAACAGCAACAACAACAACAAAGGAATAATTAATCAGCATTGACAATAGTCACAAATGGTCTTCAATCAAATGTTGAACTAACTTCCCCAGGGCTCCCAACATCACCTTACCCTGTTGCTTTTCTCTATGGCACTTTTCAACAATACTTGATGTAGCTTACTTATTTGTTACATCATGGTTATGGTCTTTCTCCGGAAAGAATGTGAGCCTCATGAGGGATTGTCATCTGTTTGATTCATTGACATTCCCCAGCTTGCAGCAGAGTGCTGGCATGTAGCAGGTGCTTCGTAAGTCTGTGTACAGTGACCATGACCTCTGTTGCCCTGTGAACCTCGCAGGGGTGGATTCAGCTGGTCAGCCTCCAGGGTCAGTAATCACCAAATGAATGGGGCTCACCATCCTCTCCCATCTGCTTCCTCCTCCAGGGGTCTTTACCAAGGCTTAGTTCTCATTACACTAAACAAGTTTACATAGGTTTGGGATGGAAGAAGTGTGTTTGCTAATTTTCCAGCTGTTTCCTGAAACCCTCACCCTCACATACACCACTGTCTTGTCACCCACATTATTTGATAGTAGTGGAGGTTTGCCTAAGGCAACTGCTCCAGTGAGAATTGGAGTTCGAGGACTTTATAAACCATCCCAGATGGTTGTCTGTGTTTAAAGGACATTCTCAGATTTCCCCCAGTGATATGTTCTGGTGACTCCAGCCCTGGAGTTCACACAGATTTTCTGCCTGACATAGGGTCAGGGTGCTTTGGACAAAGGAATCACCAAAGGAAAAAGGTGAAAAAGAAGTTAAGGACTGAAGGCCTAGCCTGACACAAATGGATACAAATTTTCTAAAATACGGCTCCTGCCTGCCCCAGGTAATGAGGTGACATCAGGATGAAGAGCTTGCTCTGTGGCCCCTGCAGCTTGGTAGCCTTTGTTGTCAGTCACTTTCGAGGCATCTCAGAATGACCTGCAGTAGAAAGAGGCAGCTCAGAATGAACTCTGGCCTGTAGGCTACTTTGTCTGCCACTTGCTGGCTGTTGTGGCCCCAGGCAATTCATTTAACCTTTGTTTGGGGGGCAAGGGGTAACTTTTTTTTTAATTATGTAAAAAGTACAAGAAAGGAAATTAAAATGGCTCACTATTTTGCCACCTTCACATTAAAAAAAAAAGTACGTGCAGCTAGAAAAATTTTAAATGACGCAGAGAAAAATAGTCCCACCAGTCCCTTTCCCCAGAGATATCTACTCTAAATTTTTATGGATATGTTCTGAAAAAATGTGCCTTACCTCTGTCTACATTGAGAGCTACCTTACTCTTTTTTTTTTTAATTTGTTTTGAGGGGGAGGTAATTAGGTTTATTTATTTTGGGGGGAGGTACTGGGGATTGAACCCAGGACCTCACATGTGCTAAGCATGTGTTCTACCACTTGAGCTATACCCTCCCCCAGCTTGTTCTTTTTAGAGACTCATAGTATTCCATTGTATTCCTTCCAGAGGGAACTGCAAGGGCAAATGCCAGGGGGTAGGAACCTGCCTGGCAAATTACAGGAAAAGCTGAGTAAGCCAGGGAGAGAGCACAGGGTCCTGGTGGAGGCCAGACCCTGCTGGGCACTGTGAGAGTTTTGGATCTTACTGGGAGTGAAACAGGAGCTGTTAGAGGGTTTTGAGCAGAGCAGAGACATGGTCTAACTTCAGTTTTAACAAAAGCACCTTGGCGCCCAGGCTGCTGTGTGGATGCACCAAAACCAGTGCACCGTTCTTGACTTTCCCTCTCCTCTGCCCACGTGGCCGAAGAGCTTCCCACGTACATCTCAGCGTATTTTGAGGGCATGTCTATAGGGTGAGTTCTTGGCAGCATCGTTGTTGACTGTGGATTTGCCAAATTGTCTCCCCTCAAAGCTTAATCCTTTGATCTTTAGTTTCTTGGTAAATTAAAAGTTACAATAATAATCTCCACCTCAGAGTACTGTGGGCTCATCAAACAGAATATTGGATTTGAACTGGGTATAAACTAAGGAGTGGCACACGTGGGAGCTAGAAGTTCATTGGGTCGGCTAGGAAGTAGCCCCCTTCGTGGAGGGCTTTTATGGCTGAGGTTTCCTGGGGTCTTGCCTTTTTTATTTCCCTGTGACTTCCTTTCTCAGTCTGATTTTAGAGATAAAAGATTTCCTCCCTTTGTTGACATGGTTTATTTTGCAGGAGACAACAGCTTTTAGGATTGTTTTTCTGGAGTGTGATGAGGGGTGGGGGCTCGGGTTTAGGGTGTTACTTCAGGGCCCTCCCTCGATGGCGGTGGATGTCTTCTTACTCTTTAGTCATCTTCTGGAAGACCAAGAAGTGGAAAATTTTAAAGTGGCTGCCAGATTGTGACTCTGGACTGTAGCCTGCAGGTGGAACATTGAGAAGCCCAGATTGCTGGCAGCACCTGGTTTTCAGGAATTGGGCCCTGCGAGCAGAGCAAAGCTGCCCCCATGGGTGTGTTCCCAGAGCTGCGGAGGGGAAGCCTCCACGACCCCTCTGCCAGCAACTTGGGAACCATAACCAAACTGCTTAGTGTATCTTGGTTACTTCCTGAGAGCTGATCTTCCTCAGCAGCGCTGCCCAACATGTAGATGGAAACGATCTGTAAGCTGTGCTGACCAGCACTGTGGCCCCTGGGCCCAAGTGGCTGTTGAGCACTTGAAACAGCTCAGGCAAGCAAGGAACAGAATGTTAAATTTTGTTTCACTTTAATTCATTTAAAGTTAAATAAACGCATGCGTTTAGTGGTTACGTCTCACTTGTGCCCCGCCTGACATGACATGACACTGGCCTCCGGAGGCTGTGGCCTTTCCTCAGATCAGGTGCCCCGTCCCTGAGCCCCTGCCTCTCACGTCTTCCACACTTTCTGCACAGGCCAACACCTGTGTTGTATGAGAAAAAGAATGTGCTGCCTCCTTCTCCCCCATGTCGGATGCTCCCTCCTCCCCGGCTGGATTGGGGTCGCCCTGAGCGCTGCGTCTCAACGGGCACCTCTAGTCATCTGTGTTTAGGCTGTGCCCGAGTACTGGCTGCCAATTGATTTGCCCTTTTTGACTGATTTCTCCCCTGTCTCCCAGGTGCCCTGAAGAAGAGTCTCACGGCCGAGCAGGTCCGGGCTGATTTCATAACTCTGGGTAGGTCACCACCCAAGGTTGCTCAGGGTGACCGGCACTGCAGCTCTTCATTATGTTAATGTCTCCTTCTACTCTCTTGTAGGTCTTAGTGAGGAGAAAGCCACTTACTTTTCTGAAAAGGTATCATAATTCCTCTTAACCAGGGTTAATTTTGATGGCTTGCTTTTTATTTCATGAAAAGAAACAAACTTAAAGCACAGACTAAGGAAAAATCATCAATCATTGTGTGTCATTCCCCCAGCTTAATGTTTTTCATTTGGTTTCATGCAAATGACATACATCCAGCTTTTAAACAGCGCTATTTAGCGCATCTTTCATTTTTTCCCTCTGATTTGACTGAACATAAATGTCATACAGTTTCCGTTCCAACCTGGGTTAAATCTCAGAATTAAAACATTTGTATAACCTCCTGCCGCTCTACTCCCCTCAGCCCCCAGATCTGTGCTCATAGGCCAAGCCCTTGGTTCTGCGTTCTTCCTACTGTCTGCCTAAAGACTAAACATGCTGTGTTGGGGGCAGAGTGAAGAGGGGACATTTTTCCCATTGTTATGACTTTGGCTCTTTGCTTTTGTTCCAGTGGAAGCAGAATGCCCCCACCCTTGCTCGATGGGCCATAGGTCAGACTCTGATGATTAACCAGCTTATAGATATGGAGTGGAAATTTGGAGGTAACTAGTTAGAGCCATTCCTGGGTCATTTGGGGGACGTAGGGTTGGGTTGCAAGAGGCTTTTGATGTCTTCGCTGGGGAAGCGGTCTTCTCACTCTCCCGAGACTGTTGGGACCAGCAGCTGCTCCTCTGTGTCATTGTCCACATTCAGCAGCAATTTCTGTCCATGGCTCTCAAAAAGCTCACTTCCTGAAAAGCACATTTTGTCATCCTCATACTGGCCCTCACATGGCTTCTGCTGTACAACCTGCAAGATTGGGGTCTTCAGAGTGTATCCTCAGTCACTTACTGTTTTTCTCTTTTGTGTCATAGTGACATCTGGGAGCAGTGAACTGGAAAAAGTGGGAAGTATTTTTTTACAAGTAAGTTTCTTCCTGATCCCTGAAAATTGGGAGATTTTTCACTTGGTTAAAAAGTATCAAATCTACATTGAGTTTCTTTAATATCCAGTGAAATGGATGTTCCACTGAAGTGCTTCATGTATCTCATAGCAAAGTGATCAGCCAGAGATGTGCTCACAAACATGCTCGCTTTCAGATGAATAGGATCTGGCTGTGATTCTTGGAGGTTTGATTGGTCTTATAGTTGTGGGAACTGTGAAGATGTTTTGGTGGTGGATGATCCAGATTGCTCCTGAGTGACTCTCAAGTTAGACGCTGGATGCTTTGACATTTACATAAAGTTCAGGTTTCAAGAATTTCTTTGCCCAAACATCGTCATTTTAATTTAAATATTCTTTTCCTTTTTTTCTTTTTTTTCTTTCTTGGATCAGTTAAAGTTGGTCGTTAAGAAAGGAAATAAAACCGAAAATGTGTACATAGGTGAGTCAAATTCCCACTTGAGCCTTTTCACTTTTTCCCTGTTCTCTTTAATCACTGGGCTCGGGAAGCCCATCACTGTCATAACCGAGCTGTGGAGCCACCATTCTGCCACCTTCGCTGTCATAAACGATAAGCCATTGGCAGGTTGGATACCTGCGGGGTCTCCCACAGTTGAAGACTTTTTTCCAAAGAGAAAAGGAGCAGGGGAGGGAACGGCGATACTGAACAGCAAGAAGCTCTGGCTGTAGGAGTCGCGATGAATGTCCCGAATGACGCCCTTTCATCCCTTTGTGCTTGGGAGTTAATGCCACTCTATATCTCCCTCCTTTTTTTTAATGGAGCTGAGAACTTCCTATGTTCAAGGCTCTCAGTTCTTTATTATGATCAATTACCCATCAAGAACTGCTTAGGTTAACTAAAGCCAAAAACGAAGAACAATCTGTGGGTGGAAATTAATTTTCTTGGGTGATTATGCGGAGTTGGAAACATTTACCTGAAGCCCAATTTTCTCTCCCCAGAATTAACCTTGCCTCAGTTCTACAGCTTCCTGCACGAGATGGAGCGAGTCAGAACCAGCATGGAGTGTTTCAGCTGATTTCTGTCCCCTGCATCTCCCCCTCCCCTTGCCACCCCCTTCTCCCCTTGCCACCCCCTTCTCCCCTTGCCACCCCCTTCTCCCCCCAACCCCACCCCCGGGTGACTGGCAGCTGGCTCCCAGGCCTGTGGGCCACTCCTTTGGACCCGCTGGCTTCTTGGAAGCCCAGGTGCAAAGGTCTCTGAAAAACAACGGGATTAAGTACTTAAAGAGCCCGACAGGATGACCTTCCTGAAGAGTCTTTGTTGAAGGACCCTCCGCCATCTATCTCCCGGGTCACCGTTTAGATATTCAGAAGCGATTGCATCTCAGACTCAGGGGAGGAAATAAGTTGACTCACCTCCCCTTCAAAGTTCCAGAGTAAACAAATGGTCTGCCACTCAAAATACACACTGATCGCCCTCCCCCGCAAAAGAGCAAGGGCTTGTCTATGGCTGAGGAAGAGGCGGACTCTCTGAATGACACAGGCGGGGAGGCCCCAAAGCAGGCTGTGTGTGCGGCGGCGGTGCATTGCTAATCAGTCCTTCACGGGGCACCCCTGTAAGGATACTGCTTGGCCTGCTCTGAGGAGAACTGAGGCTAAACTCTGTCCTCGTTTTCAGGTTTTGCCCTGTTGTAATGAGGTGGGCCTTTTGAGGCTATTTTAGCTTGTTTGGGTTCAAGCTGATCTCTGTGGGTTAAATGATGAATAAAAAAAGGTTCTGAAGAATGAATCTGCATCCAGGCATGTCTCTGTGTGTGGATGCGGGAGTCACATGCCTTGCAGAGAGCTAGTGCTCTTTTTTTTTTAACATTTTTTTATTGAGTAATAGTCATTTTACAATGTTGTGTCCAATTCCGGTGCAGAGCACAATTTTTCAGTTGAGAGCTAGTGCTCTTATCTTCGAAGATGATCTTCCTGGTTTTGGTGACAGCCCTGGGTCTTCAGTGACATTAGCTGCGGTCCAAAGTTGAGATTTGTAAGAGCAGTTCAGGGGAAACTCAGGTTAAAAATATCATAAAAAGCAAAGCAAGTGAATGTTTTGTGTTCAGATGACTCTAACCCCAACCTGGCAAGTGACTTGTCCGCCTCCTATCTCCACTCCTCCTCAGAAATTTTTTAAAATTTTGAGTAGGTAGAGGGAGGGTATAGCTCAGTGGTAGAGTGCATGCCTCGCATCCATGTGGTCCTGGGTTCAATCCCCAGTACCTCTACTAAAAATAAATAAATAAACCTAATTACCTCCCCCTAAAAACAAACAAAAAGCAAAAAAAAAATTTTTTTTGAGTGGGCAACATATGCCCATAATTCAAAAGACACAGTGTCAAGTAATTTTTTCCCCCTGGAGGCAGCCCCTGTTACTGGTTTATTGTGTTCTTCTGGACATACTTCATACACTTGCAAATATACACGCACAGCATTTGACTTCTCTTCCCATGCAAATGGTAGCATACTGTACACACAGCGACCTGCACCTTGCTTCCCCCTACCCAGCCCCGCTTAACTTGGAAATGGTTACCAGTCTGAACAGAGAGCGCAGCCTCATTCTTTGTAACAAATGCATCACAGTTTCTTCACATGGATGATTTTTCAACCATTTTCCTGCCGATGGGTGTTTACGTTGTTTCTGTTCTTCTCTTATGAACAATGATGCAACTGAATTTTTGGTAGGAATTTTTTGTATCATTTTACATGCGTGGAAATGTATTTTTAAGGTAGACATATGGATGTGGAATTGCTGTGTCAAAGAATATGTGTATTTATCAGAATATAGAAGGGGTAAAGCAAAAGCCCCTCTGCCCCTATCTCCGTACTCAGTTCCCCCGCCGCCCTCCTCCGACAGGTAACCCCTGGTGTTCGTTTCTTAGCTGTCCTTCCAGAGAGTTTGCCCCCGTGTGTAGACAATCGGAATCTGAATTTTTACTCTTTTTTTGTTGTTTATGCAGATAACTATACATATATTCTAGTGTGTGGTGGGGTTATGACCATCAGTTGCAATTTTGATAAATAGTGCCAATATTAGTGTTCCCCAGAGAACAGAACCAACTGTGTGTGTGTGTGCACGCGTGTGCGTGCGGCGCATGTGTATGTATGTATGTGAGAGAGAAGGAGAGGGAGAGTGGGGGAGGACTGGTTTATTTTAAAGGATTGGCTCACAGGATTGTGGAGGTTTGGTAAATCCAAAATCTGAAGGGTAAGCTGGCCAGCTCGAGACCCAGGAAAGAGTTGCAGATCCAGTCCAGAGTCTGCTGGCAGAGTTCCTTCTTGCTGAGAGGAGGTGGGGGAGTCAGCCTTTGGTCTATTAAGACCTTCAACTGATTGGATGAGGCCCACTCACATTATGGAGGGAAATCTACTTTACTCTGATTTAAAGTCCACTGATTTAAATGTTAATCTCATCCAATAAAAAAACCTTTACAGAAACATGCAGAGTAATGTTTGACCAAATATCTGGACTCAGTGGCCCAGCCAAATTAACATATGAAACAAAACATCACAGTACCAAACTGACCTCTTCAGAGATTGTTCCAATTTATGTAAGATTACTGTCCACAGGTCCCAAAGAAGAGCGAATCAGTGCCTTTGGACAAGACTTCCAGATGTGTCCTTGAAGGGGGTGGGTGTAGCTCAGTGGTAGAACATGTGCTTAGCATGTACAAGGTCCCAGGTACAAGCCCTGGTACCTCCACTAAAAAAAAAAAGTAAATAATAATAAACCTAATTACCTCCCCCCAATAAACAAACAAGTAAACAAATGTGTCCATGAGATTTTGTGTGCCTGAGACCATGGGAATCAAATATAAAGAGAATTCACTGAATGTCAGAACAGGAAGGTAACTAAAATGCAATCAAGTTAAATCTGTTCATATTACAGATGGGGAAACTGAGACTGGAGACGGAAATTGGTCACTGATCACTGGTCTGTGCTGCGTGTGAACCATGGGGTTCTGCTTGTTCAGAAACAGGATCCTGAGAGACCTGGTAGGAATCAGCCCAGCAAGGTATCCATCCAGTGCAGGTCCCCATCAGGTGCTCTGTGAGAGCTGGGCCTAACTGGCTGCGGGGTGGATTCTAAGGAGCCCCTTGCCCTGCCCAGTTCAGGTTCTCCCACCCCAGCTGGTCACCACAGTGGCTTCCTGGTGGTTCCACCCCAGTCTTCATTCTCACAGCTTCTACAACCTGGCCTGTTGCCTGCATGAACGTTCTCATGGATAAGACTCATGTCAGCCAGCAGATCCAAGTGCTCTCCTGGCGTCCAGGGTAACGTCCAAACTCCAGGCATGCCAAGCCCAGCGGTCTGGCCCTGCCTAGTTCTCCCACTACCTCCTCTGCCTCATGGCAGGTATCCTGTCCTGCAGCATCTGGTCTACCAGACTGCACCAGCCACACCATGAGGCCCTCTGCCTCTCCTCCCCTTAGGCCCACAGAGCTCCCCCATACTTCAGATGTAGGGTCCAGGGCACTTCTGAGGGCCTCCCCTGACGGCACCAGTCCATGATCAGCACTCCTCAGGTCCCCAGTTCCTAACTCTGCTGCGGGGCCAGAAGTGTAGGCTCTGGAGTCAGACTTCTCGGGTTCCATTCCCGGCCCCTCAGCTCCGCCCCTGTGTGACCTCAGGCACGCTTCTGAACTCTCAGAACTTTAGTTTCCCCATTTGTAAAACTGGTACAGTTCTCACCTCACAAGGTTATCTGACAGATCACCTAGCACAATGTCTGCTCAGCTAACAATGAGCTCTTCATTATCAAGTTATTGTAATTGCTTCCAGAATTCTCTTCTCCGCTAGCCTGTGAGCTTCTGGATAGGACGCTTGCTTTTCCGCTCAGTAACCCCAACACCTGCGCAGTCAGCTCCACTGCTCCCCACCCCACCTGGAAGCAGGGTTACAGGCCCTGTTGTTAGTAGAAGTGAGGATGCAGGCAGGACTGTTAACAAACCTGCCTGGCTTTAGAAGAAGAATATAAATCTGGGTAAGTTGGTTTGATTATTGGTCAGGGTTTTTTTAATTAAATAATTTTCTTAATGGAGGTCCTGGGGATTAAACCCAGGACCTCTTGCCCACTAAGCACATACTCTACCACTGAGCTATACCCACCTGCTGATTGTTGGTCAGTTTTAACACGGATCATAGATAAGACTTTAGCATACAGTGACTGGGCTGGGCACCCATCTTCCAGGGACCACCTCCCTAGAGCAGGTAAACGCCTTGCTCCCTGACTCCACGAACATTCTTGGAGCGCCTCCTACGGGCCAGAGCTCCCCCAGGCCCTGTGGGAACGGGGTGATGAGCTGTGCACACAGATAACTGCCCCTCTCTTTTCAGTGACCTGATTTCTATGCAAGAGGAGATTACATCCTCCCCTCCATTTGCTATAGTTCAGATTCCACTGTGAACTCCAGAAACTACTCCGGTCCCACGGTGGTATTGAAATTTTGTCACAAATATAATCTATCGAATCAGGGGCATTGATCAGGGCCCTAGACTGCTGGGAAGGGATTTTGCTGCAGTGCTGGAGGATTTAAGCAGATTCTTTCTTACTGTTAACACTTCATCTTTGTATCGATTCCCCCTTGTTCCTATTCTGCTTAGAAGTCTGCTGTCTGTCTGTTAACCTAGTCTTTGGCTGCAAGTTATTACTATTTGACATTTTATTTACTTTTGGAGCATGGTGTTCATTAAGATGGCAATGGTCAGGCCCAGAGAAGATCAACCAGAAATACCTGTATTTTTTCCCTGGAGGAAAAAGGACTGTTGGGTTGGGGTGGGGGAGGCATTCACTGTTCAGTTCTGACACAGCATACTTGGTCTTTTCTGGGTTGTATTTTTTCACATTTGTCATATTTCACAAACATATTTCAGAATTTCTGTGGATAGTGCTACAGATAATGCCTGATGGGTGATACCTTATATTTGCGCAACACTAGACTTTGTTTTTTTGAGGGGAGTCAAAGTTTATTAAGGCATAATTCCCATACAGTAAAATTCACCCTTTTTAAGTGTACAGTTCAATGAGTTTTGCAAAACATCTACAGTCATGTAACCACCACCTCAGTCAACAGATAAAATATTTCCGTCACCCCATCACTGCCAAAAGTTCCCTCAGGGGTCTTTATAGTCAATCCCCTCCCCTCCCCGCTAGTCCTGGCAACCACTGACCTGATTCCTGTCCCCAGTGTCCTCTTCCAGGACGTGTATAAATGAAATAATTCAGTACATAGCCAAGCTTCTTCCACTTAGCGTAATGTCTTTCAGATCCATCTATGTTATTGACATGTCAGTAGATTTTTTTCTTTTTTATACCTGGCTACAACCCAGTTTTGTTTCGTTTTGTTTTATCGGTTTACCAGTGACCAATGGTATGGTTGTATCCTGCTTTGGTGATTATGAATAAAGAACAGCACTGTAACTCCCAGCGTTCATTCCTTCACATACATCATCTTGTTTGAAGCTCAGGACCCCCTGAGAGTTGGGTGTGGTTGCACCAGTGTCTGAGAAAAAGGGACACAGCAAGGGTTACATTGCATGAGATCACCTGGCAATAACTGGAACTTTGGTCTTCTAACTCCCAACTAGAAAGGACTTCTTGTTTGGTTTTTACCAAGATACAATTCACATTCCATAGAATTCCAATTAGAAAGGTTTTAACAGAACTTACCTAAATTAGGAAGTATTACAAAATCAAACCCCCACTGAAACATCTCCATGAATGTTTTATTTCTCACCCTGTGTTA